CCCCCCCAGGAAAGTTCATTTGCCATGGCGGTTACGGCGTCGGTCGGTCGGTCGGTAGCTGAGCAGCGCGGAGCAGGCATCCTAACTGCAGAGCGCCGCTGCCGAACGTTCAACCGATGCCGTTGTGGCGCACACAACATGTTGCAACACCCTTCAAGGCCGCGGCGAGGAACGGCGGCGGCGGCGGCGGCGACGCCTCATCGCGAGCGAGGCGCGCTGACGGGGCGCCGGGGTGACCGACGGTCAATGGACGCCCCCTCCCCCCTCCCCCCAAGCCATCACCACACCCCGCCGAACAGGTCTGACGTTTGCTAACAGCTCGCGCGAGCTCAGCACAATGCCCGCGCGCCTTCTTCGCCGTGTGATGACAAAAGTGTCGCGCGAATCGAATCACACACCTGTAAGCATGGCGACGCAGCCAGGCCGGCGGTGCGACAGACGGGCGACATGCCGAGGGGGGAGGGGGGGGGGCGATAGGGCAAGAGGAGTCCGGCTTAGAGACGCCTCTGGTCTTCCAGGCCGGGCCCAGGCCGCGAGCAAATGGAAATCGGTGCCCCCGAGTGGAGGATTATGCAAAAGGGAGGGTGGGAGCCAAAAGGAAGGGCGGGAGCCGCGGCGCGGAGTACCACGACCTGCGCTTCATTCATTAACCGGAAATAAAGTGGAGGCCGTAACAAAATTACCCTACCAAGAAAACCCCTCTATACACACGGAGATGGATTTTAACCACAATAAATTTTATAGTTAGAATAAGCCTTAGCTAAACTTCAAGGGTATACAAAGTTTGTACCTGCTAATGTCGATAAGGAATGATCAATATTTCTGAATGTTTCGTGTAGAATGATAAGGGAATCAATACAAAGGCCAGCGCAGAACAGGGGCAATAAACAAGTACAATCCATGATCTCCAACACTACTAGACGCTACGATCTCTAATGCGGCCACCCCCGGATGGCGGATGTGGCCTTGGCAGCTTCGTGTGGCATGGACTACTACTGGGTTTGTATTTCCCACGCGGCCGGCCGCTGTTCGGAGGGGTCCGGGCCTCCACCTCCCCCGAGACAACTGCCCCCCTCTGACTGGCTCAGCCCGGGCTCAAGCACCAACGTGCCCCGAGGGGGCTCCTCGCCGCGGGCCTCCTCCGCCAGCAGCAGCAGGGAGCAGGGCCGCGGCCCCGAGGCCGCCCCGCGCACCCCCCCGCACCTGTTGCTAACTACCCCCTCAGCGGGAGGGACGCGACATAACCAGGCGGTCACTGAGAGGAGGGGGAGGGGGGGGGAGCACCCCATCGACACTCACCGCCACCAGGACAACGCGGGACCACGACGCAGGCGACTGCAGCCGTCACGGCCTCGCACCAATAAGTCGCGCGCGAGCGGACCCGTGGCGACGACACGCAGCTCAACGATACGGACAGCTGACGGCGTCGCGCAGACTAACCGGGGGGTAGCCTCTGTAACTGCGGGGCGTACCGGGGACAGATACGTGCCTCTCTGTCGAGAGGACCAGAGCTGCTGTGCGGCAGGTACAGTCTGTTGGGCGCGGAAGGGGTGGCGACCAAGGGAGGGGGTGGCGGCCGGAGCCAGAGGAGGG